CGCCGCGGCAGGACCCCAACATCGCCGAAGTTTGTGAGACCTTGTTTCAGGGCCCTGGCCTCTTCTTCCCGTCCGGCCTGACCTACTCCACATCGCAGTCCCTGCCGCAGGCCATCCCGGCCGGTGCAACTACGGTCCAGGTCGCAGATGCCAGCCTCTTTGCGGTCGGAGACACCGTGGCCTTTTCGAGCCTCGCAGGCCTGCAATTCATGTTCGGCCTTTTGCAAGTCCGAGACACCGTTGCCAAGACAGACTTGGTAGAGACTAAGAATGTGACTGCCGTCGCTGCCAACACTTTGACACTTGACTCTCCTCTTGCGAACAGCTACTCCAGCGACGCCACCATCACCGTGGTCACGGCGCCCGTGACACCACCGGTGACGACCACCACGACCACGACAACACCCTTGCCGCCAACAAGTCGTCCCGGAAGATCTTTGCTGATCACGGCGGAGAGCGGCGTGTTCCTGTGTAAGATTCCTGCGGTTGGCGCAAGCGGCTCGGGCTTGGACCCAAGCAACTCCACCTTCTGCAAGACAATGGCGCTGCCCGGCGACACTGAGCAGAACCCGCCTGCCGGCCTGAACAAACCCTTCCGGTCCATCCAGGCGGACAATGGTGACATCATTGTGGTGGACAAGGACAACGGCCGCATTCAGCGATGTCCCCTTGCCGGGCCTTGTTTCACGGTGGCCCCGGTGGGTAATATGACCTTGAACCAACCGCGTGCCGTGCAGCTGGACCAGGCTCTTGTTTTGACTCGTGTCTTTTTTTCTCATCCACACCAGGCTCCCTACTTAAACCCGTAAGCCCTACACCTCAGCCCCAATCTGAACATCATGCTACTCACGTGAGTGTTCGGCTTGCTGCACAGGCCGGGAGGTACGTGATTGCAGACTTCAGCGGCGTGAAGCGGTGCGATGCAACGAGCTGCGTGCATTTGGGCCCTGCCCCCACATTTCCCGATCCGTCTGACCTTTCATACTCGCAGAGTGTGTTGGATGGGGCGTCGGATGTGCGCCTGGAGGGTTCGGACCACTTCGTGACTTCCGCCGTGAACGGCAACGGAGTGCAGAAGTGCCAGGCGGTAGTGAACGGAACATGCGACATCATCCTGAACGTGCAGATGTCCTGCGCCGTCGTTGGGGAAGATGGTTACTTCTTCTGTGACCCGGCCTTCAACGGCAACGATGACAGCATCAAGTTCTGCCGCTTTGAGGATGTGGAGTGTCAAGACAACGCTCTCACCGTTGTGGCCGGAGGGGTGCGTGGGAGCGGGCCTACACAGATGCGCTCGCCTGGGGACGTGCTGGTGGATGAGACGGGCAGTTTCATCGTGGCAGACTCTTTCCAGAACAACCGCATTCAGCGATGCCCGCCGCGGCAGGACCCCAACATCGCCGAAGTTTGTGAGACCTTGTTCCAGGGCCCTGGCCTCTTCTTCCC